TAAACATATATTATATTTATTTTATATTATTTATTAATATATTTATATTTATTGTTGCGGCTCTAAGATATGCACACTTCATTATTTCTCTATTTATCTCGACTGGTTGCTTGCTCGGATAGCTGAAATTTGCAAAGCGGTCAAAGGCATGACAGGAAGCGAATTGACATTTATGTTCCAAGTTCATTTCTTGTAAGGGTACGGAACACAACGTCAATTCTAAAGCACCTCCACGTTGCACATCAGGTGAAGGAAAAAGGCAATATCTTCGACTGTCTTCTTACTACCAAATAATATATCAATAAAAATGAACGGCCCCCATCCCTACCCAAAACTGATTTTTTCAAAAACATTCCAAAGTGTATACATCAGAGAATGCTGGTCTCATGTTGACTGTGTAGAAGGACAAAACACAGACAGAGGCTGGCTTTAGCTTAAAGGAATAGTTCAACATTTTAGGATTATATAACCAAAACCACAACATTTCCCCTTACCAAAGAGCTTTTGTTGCCTAAACCTCACACCCTGGTCTCTGGTGACAAAGTCCACCATTCATTACAGTGCATTAAATTTATTCAGCTGGGGCTTTTATCCAATGTGACTTACAGTAAGTGCATTCAGCCACATGGATACAACCCCAAAATTGTAAAAAGCATATGCCTACTTCGGCTTCATCAAAATGCTGAGATGTTTATTCCACCATTGTGGAGCCAGGACAGCAAACAGTCATTAGGTATCTGGGCCCCCCTTGGAGGGAGTAGCAAACTGATTGGCAATAGCAGAGTGTAGTGGAGGGGCTGGGGTGTATGGTTGAACCATGTCCTGGATGTATCACCCCAACCATTTCTTTGATTTCTTTAAGGATGTTATGCAGAAAAGCTTCTGCAAACACATTTTAATCTACGGCTGTGCCTTCTTGAACAGTGGGGAAGGTAGCCTGCTGGTCGGGGTGTGTGACGATGAAGTGGTTTATGGTATGCAATTCAGCCATTAAAAGGAGGACGACACCCGTCTGCAGGTGGACTGGATTGTTAAGCGCTTCAATCCTCCTCTCATTCCCTACTAGCCTGCATTTTCTGCCTCTGGTGAAACCAGGGGAGCAGGGTGCTGGGCCTCTCTTCAGACTGCCTCCAGCCTTCAGTGAGCCAACCCTCTTTGAGAATGACCGGGGGATGGTGTACATGTGGCTGGATGGGAGTATGCGAGGGGCCTTCTGTCATCCGAGAAATGAGAAAATGCGTCGTCATTCAAATTCTTGCGTGCTGAAATGCTGTGTGTGTGTTCCAGATGTGGACTGGTAAGGTGCAGCAGCTGGAGCAGTATGAATCAAAAGAAACAGAAGAAGAAGGCATCCCCATCCGCGTGGTGCAAGGTGAAGCAGAACCTGAAGTCATCATTGAGAAAAAAAAACACAAGCTAGTGCTTCTCTGTCTACTGTGGGAACTCCAGATGCCAGGCCAGCTTACAACACTGGAGCCCAGATTTGGCACTGGAATACCCTCCATCTTCAGAACACAGCTAGATGTGGAATTAATTATTTCAGAAAGACAACTCAAAGAAATGCTAAATATTGCATTGTGTTAGAAAAGCTAGTGGTACAAAGGCTAGCTATTACGTTTTTCATAAAAACTTCATAAAGTGACAATATATCAGTTAGATTTCCGCTGGCCCAAGTAGCAAAACTATATTTTTTAAAGAAAATGTTTTCCCTAGTATGGATCAAGCTCATCCTAACTGATGCATCTCAAAGGTGTCTTTAGTTAGACCCACCTTTCCTGGTAAATGTCCATGTTTTTCAAACTCCATGGCACCTTTTGTCACAACTGTCTGTTATCATGTTGACTCCACAGCAATCTGAGACAACTTGATGATGGCATTATTAGGTCAAAATTGTCAAAGTTAGTATCATCTGGGTTACTTTTTCAGACGCTACAAAACGTCCCCAGAGCCACAGAGACAGTATAAAATTTTACTTGCTAAATAGTAAGCTCAGAAACTAGTGAATTCACTTTGACATGTTAAATTAAAGTGCATGAATGGAGACAGGAAGCTCCAATCTTCACAGTTACTTGGTTTCTGTGAAAACAGCAAATCTCTTGGCCATGTGGGTCTCAATGTAATGTATCTCAGCGTCCAGCAGGGGGCAACAGAGTATCAGCACAGTTTTTACCTCAACACCTCTGCCTTATGGAACGGGAGGCAGAGCCCACTCATTGGTGATTAAGGATCTGGTGATGAGTCACGAAGTGGGGGTGGGAGGGGGATGGGACAGAGAGATAAAGGGAAAGAAGGAGAAAGAGGGGGAGAGGAGGTGCGGGCTGCTTGCATTACCTCCAGGTGTCCTCTCACGTTGCCAGGAGGCTGACAGATTTCTTCTGTCTGGCCATGAATCCTCATGCTCTACGTTCTCCTGCCAGGGTCCCTGTCTGTCCATTTATCTACAGCACACATCCATTCAGAACATGCAGGAGGGCTCTCCATTCAGGGCGGGGGTCAATTGAACAGAGTCCCTGCATTAAATGATATCTGCCAACAATATCTTCCAAATGCCTTTAAATAAATATATTTAGCAAATGGGGACAAATAGAGCAATGATGATTAGATTGTGAAACTTACAAGGAGAACTGGTTAGTCTATGCCAAAAATAAATAGACAAAAGCTTTGTTTTTATTTTATTTTTGATTATATGACTTCTAATTAGATTTTTGATACCTGTTTGTTTCAAATTATCATCATTTGTTCTTTGGTCTCTGTTCTATATGTAAACACCCCCCCCCCTATCAGATTAGTACAGGGCTTTTTTAGGCAACATCTTACATTCAAAACTCAACTTTTAGCTTTTTCAGTCTGTCCAACAGTTCATAGCCTGCTTCCTCTTTCTGATTTGAGTTTCATGTCACACATCCGGTTCTGTTCTTCTTTCAGCCCTTTGACAAACATCTGTGGATGATATTTTTTTCTCACATCTTATCTCACATGTTTTCTTTGTGCGGTTGACTTAGCTCGAGCATAACCACGCACGCAGTAGCAGCAGCTGTGAGTTAGTGTCGATCAGCCAGCTAAGCTGCACGGGGGTGGCTGACTAAGTCTTCTTACCATGCAGAAACTTTGCTTCCCTCCTCCCCGCTTGCCTACACATGGAGTGTCACGTTGTGTTTTGTTGCTCTTGTGGCCGGGTGTCGTCATAGAGGAGGAATTACAAATGCATGAATACAATCTATAGATTCACAGGTGCTATCTGTGCATTTTCATGGATAGAGAAGACAAAAGGGAAATGACTGCATTCTGCTTTGTCTCACAGTAACTGTACCAAATGTTTCCAGGACCTGTCTTTCTCACAGGATTGTTTATATTCATGGGATCTTACTCAAGGCTACGCAAGAAGTAGTACATTAACCAAGCAATATTCCGAATGAACCTCACGATATCTCCACCTCCTAAACTACACATGCAGACTTTGTTAATGTTTGCCTTGGTGAAACACAGTCCATTTGTGACAGCATTGACAGTGTGTGTGCATTTTTGTGTGTGTACATGAGTCTGAGTCACGTCACATGCATGAAGCAGGGGAATATCCCTGCATATGTATACTGTGTACCATTCCTTCCGCATCCTATCCAGTTTCATGTGTGCCATGCGTGAATAACATGACCTGTATCTATCTAAAAAAAAAAGCATAAACAATTAATTTTAAAAAATTTCTTCAAACCTACAGGGTTGATCCCTCAAACCAGAGGAGTGAATTTACATGCCAGAGTCAGTGTGTATCATGCCTCTGAGAAATAACCGAGAAATCCCCGTCTTCTGTAAGCCAGCGAGTCTGACTCACTGTGCAGCACATCTATCCGTACATTCGTACAATCACATGGGTTCCACAAATGTCAAAATGTCTTAAACAGAAGCTCCAAAAGTACATTTCAGTTTCTTTAACTACTGCCGCATTTTCTCCACCTAATATTTACACAGAAGTGTCATCATTTTTAACTGTTTTTCTTTTGGCAACAGTGAGTCAGCCGAGCAAACCAGTCATATATTTACAAGTTGATGTGCCCAATAAAACTCTAGATAGACTATGACCTCCAGCTGATGATCATCAGAAGGCAAACAGCCGGCAGTGTAAACAAACATCAAGGATACCTACGGGGAAGCATTTGTTTGCTCCCTTAAAATTCTGTCCTGTTGTAACACTACTTCATGAAACACATGCACATAAGACTGAAAAGGGGACTGGAAAGTCAGAGGGCTGTCCTTGCTTTTTGTGCTTAATTGTATATTAGATTGAAAAGAAGATAAAGTCTGCAGTGTTCTGCAAATAATTCACTAAGTCAATTGTACTCCGGTTTACCTGGTCAACAAATGACATGCAGTATGGCTCAGGCAAGGAAGCAAAATGAATCTAAGAGCATAATAACTGCTTCAAATATGGAAGATGTTTGGGCAGAATAATGCCATACTTGTTAGTGAGGCTCAGGAGGAAGATGGCTGTGACTGCTGTGTTCCAATCAAATCAAAATGACACAGTGACCTTGGAGAGACACAGAGAGAATATATTTTTAGCTAGCTGTTCTCCCAGGGATGCTGTTTTTCCCATCTCCGTTTTTGTCTTTATTTTATTTTTTTTGGTCTAATGCTGGCCACCTGGCTATCTGGCTTCTACAGGGACACCTGTTTACAGAACAGAGCTCATGAGACAATCAGGCCTCTCAGCTGAGGGAGCAGAGAGGTTGGATTGACTGGCTAACATCACTTTATTTTTTTCTAGCTGTAACAATAAAAGGCTGTTCTTTGCTCACTGGGTGCAGGGAAGAGAGCTTGACTCAACTACTGAAATCAGTTCTTTGGGGAGCTGCTGCTCACTGAGCTGTTGGATGAAACAAATTTTTTTCCCTTTTAGGTTGATTGTTGCTCGATGTTTCACGAGTATAAAATCAGCTCTAGTACAAAAAATATTGTTATGTAGGTTGTTGGAGAAAGAAAGCTGGTTTGCCTCAAGACAGTGGTAGTCATTCTCATTTATGTTTTATTTTTGAAATCGGTCCAAAGAAAAACTGTAGTCGGTTGACGATTCATCCATAGATCCATTCATTTTCCACTGCTTATCCAGAGCCAGGTCGTGGTGGCAACAGGCTAAGCAAGGTAGTCATGTGACGTCCCTCTACCAAACGTCTTCTGTCTCCTCCTCGGGGAGCCAGATGAGGTATGTAATCTCCCCAGCGTGTTCTTCCAGTTGGGCGTGTCCAAAAAACTCCAAAGGGGGGCGCACAGGAGGCATCCTGATCAGATACCCGAACCACATCAACTGGCTCCTATTGACACAAAGGAGCAGTGGCTCTTACTTCGAGCTCCCTTTGGATGTCTGAGCTCCTTACCCTATCTCTGAGGCTAAGCCCAGTCACTCTACAGAGGAAACTCTTTTGCATCTGCAACCTCATTCTTTCAGTCTCTATCCAAAACTAATGACCATGGGTAAGGTTTGGATTATAGATTGACTGGTAAATCTTCATCACAACGGTCCAGTACAATGCCCGCACCAGTCTGTCTGTCAATTTCACGCTCCATGTTACTCTATTTCCAATTGTGTACAAGTCCATTTCTTGACAAAGACCAAGTAGAGAATGAGGACGGTTCAAAATGTCTTATATACTTGCTTCGACCGCATGTTTTTTTAAAATTGCTATCCTGTGAATCCACCATTCCATCAGAGCGGTAGTTGCGGTACCTGTCCATAGCACATAATTAAGGACATGGACAGTGAGTAGCGATGTACAGTCATCAGCAGACTGAGCAGACCACAACTACAGCGGAACGTCTTTAATAGAAAATTATAGAATGTCTGCAATAACCTACATTTTTAAGATGACACTTCCACTGTAGTAATTTGAAACTTAACAACATAATTTTTGAGACTACGTGTGGAGTGTTGGTTTGTGTAGTGTGCAAAAAAAACCCCACCTGATCTCGTCTAAACTGAATAGATAAGCTCTGTTCCACTACCCTCAGTCAACCAAAGAGAAGGAAGGAAATAAAGAGTGATTTGAAGGCATTGTGCATACCACTCAACCAAACATTAAACAATATGAATGCTTTTATCTCTATTGCACAAACCAAAGCAAGTGGATGCAAGACTTTTGCCATATTGCCATGTTTCATCAACTCTTTAACTCACCTTGACCAGCTGCTGACAACCTGTTACATGTTTGGTTAGAGCCTAGATTGAGTGGGGATGAGAGAAAGTGGTAAATAAATAGATTTACAGTCAGGATGCACATACAGTTAGAAGGAGAAAAGATAAAATGCCAAACCCTAAAACAGACACCGAGGCTCATTTGATGACATTCTTTCATGTACACCTCTATTGTATTTCAGCGACAAGAAACTGCTCCGACTCATTGTTTTGTCTTTTAACTGCCTGTCTTTACGAAAACTGGGAATGGGTTGTGCAGATTGACATCTGCTGCTTGTGACCACCTTTTACCAACAATATAGTGAATATCAATCCTGTTTTATAACATGCAGCACAAAAGACAAAGAGATTAAAATTAAAGACTTTCTCCCACAGCAGTCGGACTAACATAAATCGCTACTTACATAACATCGCTAATTAGATGAGCTTTCCTGCAGAGCTCTGAGGTCAGCTGGTCATCTTATAGGCATCAGCTGTCATGATGACAAGTGAGAATGTGTTTATAATTGTGTTTTATTATGTGTATATAAAAATACGATGTCATGAATCTATCTAAGTTTTTCCGAGTGGTCATTCAAAACTTGTGTTATACAATAGTTACTCAACAACTGGCTGACGAGCTGAATGGATTTTACTGTAGGTTTGAGAAGCCCACAGTCACACCTTTCCCCCACTCCAACTCCAACTTCAAACAGTTACCTTACCCCACTGCCACGCTCTGACCCCCCTCTCTGACCCCTCACCTGCACCTATGATCTGTGAAGGGGATGTGCGCCAGCTCTTCCAAAGGCAGAAGATCAGGAGACTGGCCCAGACGGTGTGTCTCCATCCTGCCTGAAAATGGTTGGGACTGCATTACTGACACCATCATCTAAAAGGCCCAGCAGAGGATGTACTTCCTGTGCCAGCTCAGGAAGCTCAACCTGCCTAAGGAGCTGCTGATCCCCTTCTACACAGCCATCATCCAGTCTGTCCTCTGCACGTCCATCACTGTCTGGTTTGGATCTGCCACCAAAAAGGACAGGAGCAGACTACAACAGACAGTCAGGACTGCAGAAAAAATAATCGGTGCCAACCTGCCCTCCATTCAGGACTTATACATTTCCAGAGTCAGGAAACGGGAAGGAAACATCACTGCAGATCCATCTCACCCCAGACAAAATCTGTTCTTCTGTGCTTCTCCCCTCTGGTAGGCGCTACAGAGCACTGTACTCCCAAACCATCAGACTCAGGAACAGTTTCTTCCCACAAGCCAGCACAGCTGACTCTGACTCACAGCACAATTCCTGTGCAATAACCCAGTAACTCTGTCTCTAATCAGCCACCTGTTTACTGGCTACCACTTATTATTTATTCATCATTCTCTATTTCAGAGCTGTTCATACTGTTAATATTGTGCATTGTACATACTGTATTCCAAATCTACGTACCTCAAGTGAAGTGAAGTGCAAAGACAATAAAAGATAAAAACAAATACACGGTAAAAACAAGAAAACACATAAGAGACTAAAATAAAGTAAATATAAAATATAACAATAGAATAAATAAAGTTGGGATCAGAGCTCTTGAAAGTTTTCGCCATGGATTTGTAAACTAGTTGCTAGCTAGTTAACGCTGTACGTAACTTTGCGCCAAAGATCTTCTTCTTAATCTGTCTGTGGTGGATGTGGTGCTGTTAGGTCACCTCCCCTAAAATGTGGACATGTGTTCCCAACTTTGAGACATTTATAACAGGATGTGTGAACGGTGTGACTTCAGACTTTATTATAGCTAGAAATAGCAACCAGAAGTAAAGAGAGACAAAACCAGAAATGACAAAATGGGTAATTCACATGAAGTCAATGGGGCAAGATTTCTGTTGAGATAGTTAAGTTAATAACCAGGAGAAAAAAACTGCGATTACATGGGCCACATTGGCATCTGCAGCTCTCCTGGTGACAGTGGTTATAAAATACTAATTAGATTCCTTTATATAGTTAAAGCATTGAATGCTGGATCAGATTTGAGATGAGAATTGTTTAATGTTTAATTTTGGACAACTCACCTTTATCATTACATAGTTTTGAGTCATCATGTACTTCTGAGCATAGCTCCACCCACCTTCAACTTGAGCAGAGGTCTAATCAGCCAAAATAAGTGAAAACACTTGCCCACAACCAGATCTACATAAGACACAAGTTGTATGTTATTTTTAATCCTTTTAACAGTGTTTAGTTAAAGCAAGAGTGTGTAACTGCTGAAAGAAGTTACATTGAATAACACATTCTTCCTCTTATGAGGAATACCTTTCTTGCACAATTCAATACACTGCACTGCTGCAATAGCCTTTCTTGGTCTGGTATGACCAGCAGATTATTATGTCTAATGTTAGTAAATGTTAGCAAACTCAGCAAAGATATTGCTGTATTATCTGACATTTCAGAGTCATTTTGGTGACTTGATAATTCTTCTGTGTCACTGGTGCACTAAATGTACCATTATTACATAACTGTCACTTGTGCCCACAGTGGCTGCTATACAGCAAAAGCTTGAAGGCTTGCAATATTAAGTGCTCTTACTTTATATTTGACCATTATTTGCACACAGACATTTCTTCAATGGATCATAACATTTTACGATGGTGCCAGAGATAGTTGTTACCTTTTATGAGGCAGCTGCAAATCCAATCCAACTCCCAAATACATTAGGCTACAATTAAATTGAACAATTTAAAAACTTTGTATATGCTGTAGGAGGAACAATAGATCCCGTAGAAGTGCTTGACAATCCCCTGAGGCCTCATTTACAAAACTCTGTGGAGAATATGTACAAATGAGGAAATGTACATGTACAAAAAATATTCAGAATTTTTTTATAGAAATGAACTTACTTACTAAATCATTGTACTAAATCTTTGTGTATGGAAACATCAAACATGTGGTGTGTGTGTGTATACAAGTGGAATTTGATTGACAAGCAATCCTCATCTGAATTTGCCTACTCAGATTGAAATCCTATACAAAGATAACCTGGGGTTGAGGTGTTTAATGGAAATAATCAGAGCATTTGATCAATCTTATTATAGCTGAATTATTAGCACAAATGTAAACACACTGAATTAGACTGAAAGAGAGGGCATGGGTGGGGGGAGGGGAGCCTGTCGTTAGTGAGTCCTCAAGGACACAGTGTGCTGTGGGAGCCTGGCCGAGGTATTGCAGGGAGGCAGCACGGATAAGAGGAGGAGGGGGGGATGGGAGGGAGGACTGCTGACGCATTTAGGACCTGGTGGAGGGGTGAGGAGGGGGGTTGCTGACGTCTGGACAGCCATGCAAATCTAGGAAACCAAGGAGATGGCCCTGGTCCAAATTCTGCCTGGTGAACCATGGTGATTTCTGGCAAAAGATGAAATGAAGAAATGGGGAGGCTCAAACAGCAGCTTTAGCTGTTTGGCAGCCCTTCTCAGTGTTTCACAGACAGCGGTCCACTTAAGTGAAAAGAAGCATCTTGACGAGGGAGTTTTGGATACAGATAACAGTACACCATGCTCAGCTTTTCTATAGCACAAAATACTAAGAATGAAAAAGTGAGTAGAACAATGGGTATTTTGTTTCCAAAACACTGTCGAAAATAACGGATTGTGCTCATCTCTCCCCCGAGGACAGACAGGGGCGAGCGGACAACTTCGCCATGCAGGATGAGGAGGTGTGGCTTCCCACCCACTCACTAGATGAAGCTCTGGGTTTTCTGTTTCTGGAGGAGCGGGAGTTGGATGACTCCGCTCCATCAATCCATGGGTCTACAGATAGTTCTCCCTTTGCCCCGTTCCAGGCTGCAGAAGACGCTGGTCCCAAGCTCAGCAACTCCAGCGCAGAAGGAACTCTCCCAGGGGACCTTGGCGTCTCCCTCTCTGCCTCCCATTGGTGGCATACTAAGGGAGCTCCCCGCCATCATCCGACGGGCTGCCGTGCACAAGCATCTGATTGTTCCTCTGGCTCAAGACCCTGAGGGTTCCTGTTTACACCTACGTCCCCATTACGAAGGTGGAGGGATTCACCGACATGGGCTACCCTCCCGTGCCCCCCCTCGAGCCCACACTCACAACCTTCTTCGGTGTAAAGCCTGGGCAGGCAGTAGCCTGATGGCCCACAGCTCTAGCAAGTAGCCTGGACTCTCTTGCCTTCCAGTCAGAGACCTCTGCTGCCGCCTCTCTTTTAGCGGTCTGCCGCCCGTCCCTTTCGGTCCGTGCTCCTACTGATGCAGGGTCCCTTTCAGGGAGGAAAATCAAGGTTTTTACTCCTGCTACTTCCTGGTCAGGAAGAAAACAGGGGGCATGAGGCCCATCCTCGACCTGTCCTCATTTAACAGGGTGGAAGCTTCACATGTTGACGATACGACAGGTTCTGGAATGTGTTCACCTGGGGGACTCCATCGACCTGAAGGACGCGTACTTCCATGTTTCCATCACTCCGAAACACATGAAGTTTCTGCATTTCTCCTTCCAGGGGGTCCAATACCAATACAACCGGCTGCCGTTCATTTACTCTCTGGCACCGCTCACCTTCTCCAAGTGTGTCGAGACGGCTCTGGAGTCACTGTGACGTGGGGCCTGAGAGTGATATTATATTTGGACAATCTGCTGTTGCTGGCTCACTCCAGAGAGGAGGCTGCCGCACAGATGGTGGAATCGGTCACACACCTATCCTACCTGGGCTTCACAGTGAACTAGGAGAAAAGCGCCCCTCTCCCCTCTCAGAGGCTCACTTATCTGGGCATGATATTGGACTCAGCCTGTATAAGAGCGCCTGTATAAGAGCACGAACGAGCACCCTCACTGGACTGCTCCACCATCTCACTCAGCATGCCATAGTGACAGCACTGTGGGTTATGCGGCTGCTGGGCCTCCTTCACGTGCAGAGGCTGCAGCGGTGGTTCATCCAGTCCTGGTGAGTCAGAAACGATGCATGTTCTCCATTCCCACATCGGTGGGCCCGGATCTGGCTCATTGGAGGGACCCCACACCCTGTCGGTCGTGCTGGATAGGGTTTCA